AGAACCAAAAGTACGTAGGGATACCTTTTAAAACTGCCTAAATAAGCATAAGTCACCCTCCTTAAGAGAAAAGGGCTTTTTCCTACAAAAAGAGACACTTTTGAATCTTTTCCAGCACTGAGGCTCAAAAGGCAACCTTAAATAAGAAGATGGAAAATTACGCACTTCACACCTTACCAAGGAGGCCCAAGAGAGAAGCTTGGAAGAATCACAATTAATTCCCAAAACCAAACATTTACCTCTATTAATCTTGAGACCCGAAATCAGTTCAAAGAATGTAAACGGACGATTCAGATTAATAAAGAAATTTTCCTTCCCCAAACTAAACAAGAGAGTAAAGCTTTCCAACTTAGTCATTAACAAGAATTGAATTGCATGTGCACAATAGTGCAATAAACACTCATCAAAAGGTCCATTGATATATACACCTTTAATAGGGCCATGACCAGCTCTAAATAAATTGTAGAAGTCAAAGTACTGTCATAACCAGTAAAAAGGTTAATCACCCTATTCAAGATTTAGAAAGAAAACACAGAAAATGTTCAAAGCCCCTTTCTCCTTCTTGAACACATTATTAATCTAGGGGAGAAAAGAATGAAGGAAAGCAATAACTCATACGGTTAATCCGTGTACGTCGATATCCAGATCTAGGTGGCTTCTTTTTATGAATGGAAGGAACTTGCAATATTGCTGCATGAACAACGAGAAAGTATGATTAGGCAACAAAAAGCTCAGATATCTTCACAAGGATAGCAAATAGAACCAGCATTAGTCAAAAGCTGCCACAACCCATTCACTGATAAAGCAACAGAATTGACTTGCTTCAGGCAATCCATTGGATAAGTTCAGCATTTAAGATGACGTCATAGATAACATAAATATCTAACCTAACAAAGCAAATATCTATCCTGGCCACTAAATTGGTTGACTGACTAACATTTAGATTAGTCTCATAAACTTGATATAAACTTCTCTATACCAGCTTATAACAAGCTAAAATATTATTTCTAGGCCTAATTTCTGTTTGTCGGTATGTCAGAAAGTTGACAAAATAGATCTGTTATTGGTTGTAACTAACTACCTAGTAGCAGTTAGCTTTCCTTCATATAAATAGCATAGTAACTACCTAGATCTGGAATTAGTTCATCCCCAATTCTTTCAGAAAAGGAAACTAATCTGAAGATGAACAAGGAGCAGAATATTGTATCATGGTAATTTTATATTGGAATACTAGGTGATATAATCAAGGCTACAATTAAAATAAATAAATAAATGCAGATAGCGCAGCAAGAGTGATGAAGTGTTGGTTTTGCTATTGTTGTAGGTGGCCTCAGAAACACAAAGGTGCTTGTCATTGGTGGCTTTAAAGATGATGTTCTTTATCAATTTGCCTGGTTGTTTTTTAGATTCTTTGATTGTTTGAGCTTAAGGGTTTTGTTGGTTTGCATTGATCTTTGATGGTCTTTAGGATGGGTATTGAGTTTTTCTTGTATTTTTTAGGCTTTAGGTTGGACTGAATATGTCCCTTATTTTTAAAGCTTTTGGAACTCCCATTGTAAGTTTTCAAAATCTTTTGATTCCTTGTAAAAAAAAATTTTTTAAAAATAGCATACACTATACACTATGGTGTCAGGTACTTTTAGAAGAGGATAAACTATACAGTATGCTCTCTACTCACTTTTCACCAAAATTGACATTAAAGAATATACGCTGGTTAAGCATAGAGGCCAGAGATATTAAAATGTAAGGCAGAAGCTGAAGACATGGGAGGGAAAATGAGTCTTCTAGTGCGGCCCTTGTGATGACTGATGAGCACTTAAGGAAGCACAGAATTCTAGCTAAATATGACAAGATGCTCAAGCAGAAAAATATTGGCCCATGTGAACCCTCAAAATATCAATGTTCACGTACAACATATATTGGATGTCTCCTAGAGCTTCCTGACAATTTACATATTTCTGCTACTTTAATGTTACCTATATCAATATTCTGCCCCTAATAAGTTAACTTTGCCTTATTAAATGGGGGTGCAGCAAGCTGACATGAATTTGAGGACTTGAGTAAGTTAATATTAGAGGTGGAATCCCTTTTATCTATTGTTTGTTTGTTTTTAGAAAAAGAAAGAAAAAACTATCATGCTATAGTGGTTGAACTTAATTTTCAGAACACAAGAAACACGAATTATAATTCTTTCTACTCTCAACACCAATACCATATTTGTATTTTAATATGTAACAAAACAAGAAGGAGAAGCCACCACGTCAAGTTGTGGCCTATTTTTAAATATCCATTTGTACAAGAAAAAACATTTCCAAATTTTAAAAGTATAAATAAATATCATATTTATTTTGGAATAACATTTTTTCAAGGGTGTAGTATTTCAACAGTAACAACTCCAAGAATAACAATCCATGTTTAGTAGCAGCTTATCTGACATCAAATCACTAGAAAGTCTATGTAAAAACAGACAGTGCAACATAATTGAAATACATATATCTTCTCTTACTATATGTTCCATCTTGTCCTCGAAACCATTGTCTGGAGAAGACAAAATCTCTCTTGCATTGCGATCTGCTGTCAGAACAGAATTTGGAAACATGTGAATAAAAATCTGAACTGGAACTTAAATACAAGCTGAGAACAAATAAAAAACATAAACTAATAACCTTAACAAGTAAGTTTGTTAAGGTAAAGATTACAATTATACAATTGATATTAGTAGAATATTAAGGTTAAGGAAAAGTAAACATGACAATATTAGCAGTGATCTGAATGATTTCATCGGCACTGCTAAGCAATGTCACCAAATTGTAAGTCTTGTAGCATTACTGGCTAAGATACGTGGGATCATTCGTCCCATAAAGGATTTCATAATGTCCATCATAAGATTCAACTAGTTCCAAATCACTTATCAGTGTATCCCACCTGCACACATTGATAACAAAGTCAGAACTCGGAGATTGTGACCATGCAATCAAAACTTTAAAAGAGATACTGGCAACTTACTCATATCTCTTACTCCGGTCAAAGTTCAGAATTATATCAAAAACAGTATCCGCATGAGCATCAACCACACCAACAGACTTCACAATGACCCCTTTACCGCTCTAGAAATAAATAAAATCACTGAAGCAAAACTCGGAAACCATTTATGTGGCCATTTTAAAATAAAAATCAAGTAGTTGCATCAAACATTTTTATGTTCTGCTGGAGCATCATGTACATGTGTTTTCTCAATGAAACTTTTGACTTATATTGGTGATAGGAAACATTATGCTGATTGATACCTTACTGTCAGCAACATCTTCAAAAATTCTTACACCTGAAGCCCAAAAATAGGGAATTGTAAAAATTAAGGAATACTTGGAACAATATCACTATTTCTATTTTAACAATCACCGTCAATTATTCAAACATGTGGACATCCAAGCACAGAGCAGTCATTAGGAACACGGTTCTACTGATTAATCACACAGGAAACACATTATTCCAACACTAATGCATTATCATTCAATATTTCAGAATAAATTAATTATCTCTCCTAGTCCGATGCTCACAGGATTACACATAATTAGTAATACTAGAAAAGAACCCCAAAACAAGATCTTCAAGAGAAGGCCAAAATGGATTCAAGCCCCACAGAGGATCCCATTGGGATCAAATATAGTACTAACCTAACGAGTACAATATTCTCACAGAGGACTGAGATTTACTCTATAAGACAAGCCACCCTAACTTTCCAATACATACTACATTCATTTATTCTGTCTACATCATTATGAATGCTTGGGAAATTGATTAAGATGATGGTACCATTAAATGTGCGAACACATTTCCACTTATGTCTTTCAATTGCATCACCAGAATCCCCTTCAAAGAAGCCATCTGGACCCACATCAGTATTCAAGTTTGAAGATTGACGCAAAAGTGTCTCAGGACCTGAGCATAAAAGATTAAAATGAATGCAAGGACGGAAGTCTGCTTCTCATGAAATGAGTAGAATACATGCCAACAGGGCAAGGGAGCAAAACTAGTTACAAGGTTAAGAACTTTTCTTTTCTACAGGAAAAGGAATAGCTATGCACGATGTAAAAAAAAAGTATAAAATATGAATATGATCAAATGAAATAAAATGAATTACGTACTGCTCATACCGAGGCATTCATAGTTAATATCCTCGAATTGGATGCAAACAACATTGAACTTGAAACGAAACAAAATAAATCTTAAAATGCAACATCATTGATTTTTTCCTTCCAAAAGCTAGCCATAAAAAAGGTAAACATTGGCTGAATTGAAAGGCCTACGTGACTTTTTAGTACACATGCACCTAATGACACCATGGCCCAGTCACCATCACTTATATTTTCAATTTTTCAATCTCGCACTACACCTGATATACCAAATACATCATGTGCATTTACTTTTTCTTGGTAAGGAACATATTAATTACCAAAAACTGTACGAGAGAATCAACCTAAATTTTCAGTATTCAAGTACAAGAATGTCCGGTTATGCAACTCTATGCACGCACTATGGTATATTGTTACTGATGTCAACCGTGCAAACCTCCTCCAAATTATTTATTGCAGTGATTGATTGCCACTGTAAAGCTTTAAAATGTATTAAACATTGCAAATAAAATATTAAATAATAGCTTTAGTGACTAACTAGTAATGTAAAATTAAAGCGAATACCATCATAATATAGGACATATAAGCCAAGCTACCTCACCTTGCCCAATTTTTATTAGCTTTCTTAATCCATGTGCATACCGTCTCACTATTGGTCTGTGGTCATCCAGATTTATCCTACCATAATATGAAGTTAATTAAAAATAAGAAACCGGCCAAGGAATGCAGAGAATTAAGCTGGTTAAATGCAAAGTTAGGCCATCAAAGGAACAATCCTAAGAAATAAAACACAAGGATGTTACAGTGCAGAATCAGACATCCAATTGAACCAAACCAAATCCAATCAATGTTACAAATAAATATCAAATTATAGCTACTTTCCAGGACTAGCAGTTATCCATCATTTTCTATTGCACAACTGACAATGGGAAGCTTAAAACAATCACAAAATAATAATGGTGAAGGTAACAACGCATGCTATTTGTGGACTCATCATTCTTAAGTGTCTGGAGTACAATTGCGCTGTACGATTTCTTTCATATTTGGTGCAAAAAATTATAAATCTGTGAGATCAGTCATGCCCCAATCCTGGATTACAGGGAGGATACAGAGGAGCTTGATCTTAATCTTCCATTCTTTGGTAGAGGGGAATATTCTTAGGCAGATTGGTTTTGTCATTTGTGGCTATGTTGTAGAACACTTGGCAAGAAAGTAGGAAGATTTTTTATGATAAAATTTATGGAAAACTTCCAATCTCTTTTAAAGAAAAGAAAAGAAAAAAAAGATTTGGTATTTTGAGCATTTCAACGTCACTATGATTTTACTATTAAATTGTTCCTGGCATTCCATTCTCTACTACAAATGAGATTTTCAATGTTTAATGAGTCACCTTCAATTGGCCATCAGTTTGAAAATGGCATGTTGTGCTAAGTTGTAGGTAGTGTCAAACTTCTTCCATGAAGTTTTCCGAAAATGACTAAGAAATTGACTAATTCTATCTAATGTAATTGATTGAGGGGCATCATGCAATCAAATACTTTTTTTGAAAAAATATGCTTTCTATGATGACCGAATCAGAGGTCTTTGTTGTCTACATAATCTTGTTTGAAAAAATAGTGACATTTGAAACTCCTTTCCTCTTGTGGTATTTATTTTTCTTTTAAGAAAATACGAACTTTTCATTGATGAAATGGAAAGGAACAATAATTGTTCAAGGATACAAACTCTCGAAAGAGTGAAAAAGAAAAATAAAGACAAAAATACAGAATCTAAACGACTAAACAACAGAATTACAAGGCCTAATAAAAACATCCCAATTGTTCAAAATAAGAGATAAAGGGTAATGAGAGAATGGTTCAGAAAGAGAACACCAATGAGATGCTTTGAGCTTGACGGAGAGACAATTCAAGCAAAGATCTTCTTTTACTCTTAAAAAACCTCGAATTCCTTTCAAACCAAATTTCTGAAAGAAAACTCTTCACTTCATTAATCCAGAGAAGTCTTGTCGTGGGTGACAAATGCGTGACTCCACTTAACAATTGAATCAGATTTGCTTCAACCCTCAAATCAAAAACCCAACTGAGAAATCCAGCCTAGAGTGCCAAAAGAACAATGGAAAAACAAATGATCAATATCTTCCCCACTTGATTCACAAAGAAGACAAAAAGAAGGAAGCAATGAAGCTGTAGGAAGTTTCTTTTGGATCAAATCAGCAGTATTTAACTTCCTTTTTAGCAGAATCCAAGAATAGATATTAACTTTCCTTGGGCTTTTAGACTTCCATAAGGCTGTAAATAATTCCTTAGACATCGAAGAGGAATTACACAATCTGCAAACTGAATTTACGGTATTGGTCCTCCTCATTAGTAATCGAAAAGGAGCTAATCACATGTAACAGGCCAACAAACTCCTGTAGCCCATCTTCCTTCCAAGGTCTTCTCAAAATAATGTTCCATGAACCAGTGGCAATGTCCCAAAAATCGGCAACAGAACCATGAGATAATAAGGAAAGCTTAAACAATCTGGAAAAGCTTTCCTTTAATGGACTATGAGTAGTCCAACGAGAATGCCAAAAGTAGACCCTACTGCCATAACCAACTTTTTAGGATACAAAGGCCTCAACACTCCTCCATTGTGCAGAAATTTTCCTCCATGGGCCACAGGAACTCCCAGGTCTCCTTGAATTCGTAAACCACCCATGAGGCTCAACACCATAAATGCTTGCCACCACTTGCCTCCAAATTGACATAGGCTCACAACCAAACCGCTGGCCTCATTTGGCTAGAAAAGCACCAATGCCTAGACCGTCATCTCCCAAATAAAGAGAGGTAACTTTCCAATTGACCAAATGCTTCAAATGCCTCTTGAAATTACCTTCCCATAAGAAATCCTGCATGGATTTCTCAATCATCTTGACAATATCATTTGGCACACGGAAAAGGGACATATAATAAGTAGGGAGGTTAGCAAAAACTTATTTACGCAAAGTCAATCTACCTCCATGAGATAGATTGAACCGCTTCCATCTATCTAGTTTTTTCCCCACCTTTTCAAGGACTGGCCTCCAAAAATCAGGGTGTTTATGGTTGCCCCTTAAGGGCAAACCGAGATACAAAATCAGGAACGAGGCCGCTTGAGCATTGGAGCATTGGACTAGGATAGATAATTAAGGTGCAGATTGCTACACAGTCTTTGAAAAGAAAATTTGAGAAGAATAAGAAAGAACTGGATCGAGAAAGAATCTTACGTGATAGATGTTGACTGGACAACATAATGGTGATTACCACATTTTATGCCCATGACGATTGGAAAGATATTTTATTAGCTTTAAAAAACAAATATTCTCAACACTGTCAAATCAATCAACTCATGGTTGACAAAGCCTTAATGAGATTTGAAGATGGAAGATATTGTAGTTTATGGAAGCTGGATTGAGATTCATGACCTACCAATTATCTTCTGGAATCATCAATGCTGTGAAGATTTATGAAGCTACTTTGGTGGTTTGATTCCTCCAAAACATTGAACATGATTGATCGCACTGATATCCAAATATTCAGTTGAGAACTTCTTCCATAATTCATCTCTGAAACCCATATCCAGTCAAGAACTCATAGCTTGATCTTCTACGTTTGGGTGGAGATCCTAAAAATATTAATTTTTGGAATCCCACTAAAGAAAAAATCATGAAGAAGCTCGATAGATGGAAAAAGTACCAGTTTTCTCGTGGTGGGAGATTGACTCTTTGCCTCTCGGTTCTTGGCAGCATTCGCGTTGTACTTCTTAACAATATTCCAAATGCCAGTTCTTATCAGCAAACAGATTGAGCAAAGTTTGATAACATTTTTTTGGGGATAGTTAGAAGAGTTCATTAAAGCATTTGGTTAGGTGGGATATTGCCTCTTGTTGCAAGGAAGAAGATGGTTTGGGTCTTGGGAGATTGTTGCGTAAAACCATGCTTAGCTAGCTAAGTGGGGCTGGCGGTTTAGTATAGAAACTTCAGCCCTCTGGAGGCAAGTAATGGCAAGCATTTATGGTATTGACCATTTTAATTGGAATGTTTCTGGGAAAAAATTGGTAGTCATCGTAGCCATAGTTTTGTATTTAGAAACAGTGGTCATTGGTGGTAAATTTCACTTTTTTCAGTGTTAAGAATGGTAAACGAGTCCTATTTTGGCACCATTTATGGTTGGGGGATTCTATCTTAAAGGATAGGTTTCCAACCTTATTTCGGATCTCTTCTCTTCATTATATATCAGTCCATGATGCTTTGGACTCACATTCTTCCTCTTGGAGAATTGAAATTAAGAATGCCCAAGGATGAAGAACTGGAAGTTTATTTAACTTTGTTGGACTTAAACAGTTTATTTAACTTTGTTGTCATGTTTAAGTCCAATTCAGCTCTGTGACGATGAGGATTAGTTGAAATAGAGTTTAAACTCTTCAAAATCCTTATTGGTTAACTCCCTTTGTAATCGTAGAGCTGGTTTTTCATCTCTCCAAATGATTTTGTTTCAAGATTGTAGAATTCGTCCAGTCCAAAAAGGATGAATGTTCTATCATGGATTCCCCTTAATGGGAAAGTAAATACCACAGAAACTCTCCAAAAGAAGCTGCCTAACATGCTCCTCCATCCTTCTATGTATGTTTTGTGTGCTGCCAATTGCGAAGACCAGGTGCATTTGTTCTTCTTCTATCCTTATGCATCAGTTTGTTGGGATCTCTTCTTTCATATGTTTAATTTTGCTTGGGTAAAGGATAAGTCAATATCTTCGTCAACTTTTCAGCTCCTATTTGGTCATTGGTCATTTCTTATCGTCTAAAGCGAGTTTTCTTTGGGTAAACGGTCTTAATGCGCTTATTTCCGAGTTATGGTTTGAGTGTAATCAAAGGACCTTCAAAGGGAAAAGCCGTTCAGCTTTCGAATGCTTCAATATAGCTGAGTTCAAAGCTTCACAATGGTGCACTCTCTCCGATCTCTTTGCAAACTATTCCTTTAGCATGGTTTGTTCTAATTGGGAGGCATTTTTGTGTAATGCTTAGTCTTTCTTTCACTATCTGTACTAAGTTTGGCTTGATTGTATCTTTTTTTTTTCTTCTTCTCCTTCATTTCTCCCTTGGGGGTTTGTATCTTTGAACAATTTTTGTTTCCTTTACATTTCACAATGAAAAGTTCGTTTCTTGTTCAAAAAATATGATGGCACTTCAAAACTGGTAACGTACTAAACCAGTTCCTGTGCATCATTAACAGTAAATACAGGAAGCAACTGATGTAACTAACCTTTAATGAAAGTTAGTTAGCGTTTAAGGTTGTTAGTTAGTTAAGTTAGCTGCGTCTTAGTTAGCTATAAATACCAATGTCTTGTATCTTTGAGAGGATTATGAAATAAACTTCTTCCTTTTCAGATTGGATTACATCAAGTTGGTATCAGAGCAACGAAAAGATTCGTGGGCTATCGAAAATGGCGGGAAAGAAAAGTGCTCTTTTAGGATATTCTTCGCTCGCCGAGAAAGAGACGGAGGAAGCTACCGTCCTCTCTCCACGATCCACAACCACCCGAGTGCTGATGGTTGAGGGGCTGTTGAAACCTCCAACGGAATGTGGTAGAGATTCGTCAAATCCTAAATGTGATCGTGGACAAGTTAGACAAGCTGGAACCCCGCAAGAACAGACAAAT